TTGGGAATACGGATCCCAAGACCTCTGGGTAACGGACCAAGCAGATTTATCCCTGAAAAAGAGGTATGAGACGGACTGTAACCTCACTTCAGACCTCAAATATGAAATTAAGAGAAGAATCAGCTGATTTATTTATGTCCTCTTTGACTAGATCCTCCAAATCAGTAAAGTGGACTCCAGGACTCAATCGATATTTGAGGATGCGTTTGCAGCCCTCGGCCGCCTGGATAACATTTCCCTCGTGATGGGTTTCCATCCACAGTACCTGGAGAGTTTTCTCCGGACGCAGCACTACCTGCTGCAGATGGACGGACCCCTGCCTTTGCACTACCGACACTACATCGGCATCATGGTATGGCCAGGTTCAGCCTCTGACGTTCTCAGAATAAAACCAGGTCGACTTCCTCTCTGTACGAAGTCGTAAATCTCGCTTTTTCGCATGTCTTGCAGGCAGCAGCCAGACACCAGTGTTCCTACTTAGTCAACCTGCACGTCAACGACTTCCTTCAGGTCGGGGGAGATCCCAAGTGGTTGAACGGCCTCTTTGAAGCCCCGCAGAAGCTGCAGCAGCTCGGAGAGCTCAACAAAATCCTGGCCCACCGACCGTGGCTTCTCACCAAGGAACACATTGAGGTGAGAAGACAGGCAGGGTCTGCAGGGGTGGATGTGAAAAGTCTGACGTAACCAGCTGAGATCATGGGTGGAGGCTAGAGTATAGCTGCAGCTGTAGGATTTGGACAGACTGGAGGGTTTTAGCAGTAGAGGTGTAGTGACCGAGAGAGGAGAGCAGATCGAGCGTGATGGGAGAGAGGCTTTAATTTGAAACTGAAGGATGAAAACATATTTTCCACTTCTTGCTTGAAAGGTCAGCGATATTGAAGTCATTATTTGGCTTTCATCACTCACATATTTCCCCCTCCCTCCCCATCTCAGGGTCTTCTGAAGGCAGAGGAGCACAGCTGGTCTCTGGCGGAGCTAATCCACGCCGTGGTCCTGCTCACACACTACCATTCCCTCGCCTCGTTCACTTTTGGCTGTGGCATCACACCCGAGATCCACTGCGACGGTGGGCACACGTTCAGACCCCCTTCCCTTAGCCAGTACTGCGTGTGCGATATAGCCAATGGCAATGGTCACGCTAATCACCATGACGATTTGCTCGGCAATCAGGTAAGCGACTGCAGTGTTTGTGCAGAGGGATAAATGGTGATAACACTTCAGAGATTAACCCCGACTATGCATTCTTAAAGGACATGTGCGGTGAGGTGGAGGTGCTGATGGAGAGGATGAAGCAGCTGCAGGAGTGCCGCGACGACGAGGAAGCCAGCCAGGAGGAGATGGCAACCCGCTTCGAGAGGGAGAAGACGGAGAGCATGCTGGTGGTCACATCAGAGGACGAGGAGTCAGCCCCCCCGAGAGACATCTCGCGCCACTTTGAGGACCCCACTTATGGCTACAAGGACTTCTCCAGGAGAGGGGAGCAAGTGCCCACGTTCAGAGCGCAGGTGCACATCAGACGCAACACTCATGATTTGTGGGGTGAAAACACGGTGTGGTCTGTGCTACTGTTACTGACTTATTTTCTTTGTTTTTGCAGGACTACAGCTGGGAGGACCATGGCTTCTCTCTGGTCAACCGGCTCTATCCCGACGTCGGACAAATGCTGGACGAGAAGTTTCACATGGTCTACAACCTGACCTACAACACCATGGCTACACACAAGGATGTGGACACCAGCATGCTGCGCAGGGCCATCTGGAACTACATACACTGCATGTTTGGCATCAGGTCAGACACTTGAGCTTTTTCTTACACAATGGTCAGGCAGCACTGTGGCCTCATTACTAACACCACTGCTTTGTCTTATTCAGGTATGATGACTATGATTATGGAGAGATCAACCAGCTCCTGGACCGTAGCTTTAAGATCTATATTAAGACCATCGTGTGTAGTCCTGAGAAGACCACCAAACGAATGTATGAGAGTTTCTGGAGGCAGTTTCAGCACTCCGAGAAGGTGAGATTTAAAGGGTGGATTGACTGATTGGATCTTGTAGTTGCTCAGTGAAGTGCAGCCTTCTAATAACTTTTTTTCTTCTTCTTCCCCTGTAGGTTCACGTTAATCTGCTTCTTATGGAAGCGCGAATGCAAGCAGAACTGTTATACGCTCTGAGAGCGATCACTCGCTACATGACATGAAATGCTCTGGGCCTTGTTCTCATTGTCCCATTTTTTTTATTTTATTTTTTTCTTTCTTTTTAAATTTCACAGTCATCATTGCTGGGACATTTAAAGAAAACAAATCAAAAATGGGGAGGGTGGGGGGATGTTCGATTAAAATTGTGGAAGAGATGCATTGAAGAGAGCCCGGTGTTGTGTCGAGGCTTTGCTGGCTGGATGTTGAGAAGAAGATCAGAACAAATGGAGAGCAAGAAAATGACTGTTGGGAGAAAATCTCAAACTACAGAAGTGGATCCACAAACTGTTTGTTGCCTGCAGTGCCAAAACTGACCAAGAGAGGGCAACCTTGAGCCAACTCCTGCCCTGCAACACCGGAGGCATCCAGGGGACTAGTTTCAGTATTGCAGCGTACGGCAACCGAGGTTGCCAATCTCACCTGTTTCCTGGTGGAGTGAATACCCAGAAAGAAAAGCTGTGCAGCCAGAAACAGTCTGCACTTTGATTCTGTCGTTACTGTTATGTGTTTTAGTTTCTTGAATACTTTTTTTTTTTTTGTACTACGAGAAGTTGTTGTCCTTGTGGTTGCTGTTGGCGGTAACTGGAGATAGACAATTTTTTTTTTTTTTTTTTTTTTTAAAACGTGTGCCTGAACTATCCAGCACAGTGTGCATACGTGCTGATGCTGCTGCTCCCATGTTGTATTCAGTGGGGTCATATTGATCCCCAAAATCACCTCCTCACCCCTTTCCACCCCCCACTATATGAGCCCCTGTCCATTACAAATCCACTGCATTACACCCCTTCCTTCCTTCCTCTACCTTGTAGCTAAATTTCAAATGTCAATGTAAGCTAATCCGAAAGTATGTGTGGAAAATAAGAACACTGTCTGAGCCCTTTGTGAGTGGAGATGCATGGATGAGTTGTTTTGTGAGGACCGAGAGAGGTGTGTGTGTGTGTGTGTCTTTTACAGAGATGATGGAGAGAAAGAGGGGGGAGTACGTCTTGGAATTTCACGTCTCAAAAAAAAAAATAAGCGAGGCACTTTGAAGGAAGACTTCTTGCTTCTGCTGTAGCTCTGGTTTTGTGACAACCTTTTATTGTTTTGTTGATGATGCCTTTTTTTTCTTATTTTTTTTTCCAGTGAGGGGGAGATGGGGAGGAAAAAAAGCTAATCAAAAAGAAAGTTAAGACACCAGGTTTTCAGGAGGGATTTGCTTCCAGTTCCTCTAACCACACCTTTTTAACTGTCTTCCGCTTATCCCAGCTGCCTGGTTGCCCTAACACTTTTCAAAAGCTTTGGATTGTGAATTTTACCAGTAAATGAATACCTCTTCTGTTCTTCTCTATGAAACATACAAGAAGTGCTCTTTGGTGAGCAGAGACTTTGTTGTTGCTGTTGTGCTGCCGCGCTCCCCGCTGCTCGGGGACCTGCTGGCCTACCACCTGGTGGACTGCGCTCGATAACGTTCGAATGCAAGAGGTTGTAGCTGTGCTTTTTTCCCCACTGGGGAAGCCTAACCAGTGCAAAAGCAGCTTTTTTTTTTTCCCTCTTTATTTTGAACAGAGGTGTGAAACCTCTACTGTTTGTTTTGTTTGTTAATCATTTCAGTACTGCATTCTTCTGAGGGTGGATTTGAGACAGGTGACGGATGAATGAGTGACTATGATGATGAGGACTGATGAAAAAGGAATGGTACATTTGGAAGTGTTTTGAGAGGAGGTTTTCTGACTGTCAGTTACTGACACTTTTTATATGGAAATATATGAAAAAGATTAAAAAAAATAATAAACTAATATTAAATTGTTGTGTATCATTTTGTAGCTTTTTCCCAAAACAATGTATTGTGTGTTTCTCCATCAGTAAGATTGTATAAAATGTGGAGAAATGCAGTTCAGGAATCAAACATTCAAAGCACAGTCGGTGTCACCATCAGTTCACATCTTGCTCAGATGCACAAGAACAGGAAATTAAATTGCCCGTGGTCATTAGTAAGCATATCTGAGCACTGTTATGCAAAAGATGACTTGTGAATTGACACGAGAGATTTACTTGCTCTCTGATAATGAAGCTGACTTCACCAACAGCAGGCTGGACCCAGGGGTATAGTTCAGTCTGCTGTCAGTACTGTCTAGGGACTTTGATGTGAATTTCATTTTACTGTATCAGAAGTGTGTAGTCCCCCTTCCTGTGGTGCGGTTGAGGCTTAAAGTTTCTCTTTGCTCCCGACCAGCTTTTGTCTCGATTCAAAGGAGGGGATTTCCTTGTAGGTCAAGTTACCTCACTTTCCTCTTTGCCTCCGTGTCACACCTTTCTGGGAAAAAGTGTTTCACTTTCCTGATGAGGCTGGAAGTCTGTCGGAAGTTCAGGGTGATTCCCGTCAGTCGAGGCCGCAGAAGTCCGTCAATGTAAAATCACCAGCAGAAACTCAACGTTCCTCCCCGCTGGCCTTTACATTTCCCCCCACAATAATACAAAACAGGAAAGGTTGTTTTTTTGTTTTTTTGTTTTTAAATCAGACAGCCACCTGTTGCTCATATCATGCTGAGAAATCCTATGTATAGAACAATGTTTGCTGTCATTTCTGGTTATCGGATTGTTTTACCAGGTTTTGAAGCATTAGCTTGTTTTGTGGTTGTTCAAGGTCACCATTGTGGGAAAACTGGGGTGGGAGTTCTACATTAAGTGCCGTTTCTGATTTGTTTCAATGTAATAACAGTGTGATTTTTGAAATGCTGTATGTTTAGGCTACTTGGTGTAACTCTGTAAGCACTGCCTGGCCCCATATCTGTGTCATAATAAAGCAAATGTGTTTTCTGCTCTTCATCTGCTGTGCTTTTTTATTAAGCACAAGTTCAAATGCCACACAATCCACAAACGATAAGATTTACACATGAGGTAAATTCCAGGTCGGTCAGCTGTTGTTTTTTAAAACCACGTAAAACATTATGTACAATACAGTGCAAAGCCAGTCATATGAGCGTGCAAAGAGGTGTTTTGAAATTTTTCTTGTGCGTGATAAACCTTAAAAGGTTTGTGGAACTGAAAGTGGATGATATGCAAATATGTCCATATACGTTCCAAAGTATAAAGGGCTCAACAAATATCACATCCACACACCACTTTTTTTTTTACAGTTTAGATTAAGCCTGCTTGTTATATCCTGGATTATTATCTGTATGATTAGATAAAATTAAAACCTGAGACATTTTATGCATTTACAGTATAAGTGTTTCATATTAGCCTGTCTGGTCTGCAGCCTTTAAACTTTACTGGCTGTAACTTCACCCTTGGTGGAAAACATGACGGCTACGTGGAGCATATTCAGCATATTTAGAGGGTTACAGTGCAGGAGTCGGCTGAGCTCATTTCAGCTCTGGTCACGCTTGTTTTCTGCACATGAAGGAAACTACAAATCTTTACAGCCAGCTATACAAAGCTGCAAGTGGTGCCGTGTTTGATTGTTTATAAATTCAGTTTTTGCTGACACAAAACTCCACGCCCGACTCTCTCAGGCTGTCAGATCTGCAGACTGGAGCATCTTCATCAGTTTTTGAGCGACAGGTAGGAACTCTAACTCCCAGCATGCTCTGTGGAAGTCTCTCAAGTCCTCGTTGTCTGTCCAATTCAGAGCTTCCTCCTCATCTAAGGAATTTGTAAAGACAAGAGTGTGAGAGGGGAAGGTGGGGATACGTGTAGCCCTCCCTTCCCCATGAGGGCCTCTGGTGTGAATCGGACATGTTTCCAATGTGTCCCTTCCTTCTTATGCAAAAGGAGGGATACACATTCTCTCCTTATGTGTGAATCTTTACTAACACCAACCTAAGTATGCAGCGAGCATCTCCAGCAGCGATTCTCTCTCCTCGGTGTATAATACTTTTTCTGAGCTGCCACCAGTCAGGTTCCACACGGCCTGGCAAATCTGGCCCGCCAGCTGCCAATCACCCAGTCCAAAGTCTCTCAGACAGTCCACCAGCCTGATCACACGCACACACACACAGACACGCATCATATGACTTTTACTAAGCGGATTAACATGACCTAGAGGTTTGTGAACTCCACTTCACTGGCCCTTTATCTAAAAAGAGGATAAAGGGTGGGTATAAAGGGAAAATAAAAAGTTGGAGCAGTGCTCGCTTAGGAAAGCATGAAGAACTGCACCACAGCCTCATAAATCCAAATTTACACATCTGTATGTTTGGATGAATCTAACAAGGATAAACATGAAAGCTAGATAATCAGCAACATCTTATTTGTAGCTGTGGAGGTGTTCGTCAGTTAAAGACCAGAAACCCCTACATCCCTCCCCCAAAAACACAAAATCCCAAGGAGGATGCCTTCTGTGTACATAAAGTTAGTAATATTTTTCATAAATAAACCTTAAATAAATAACGTTTTTCTTCTTTTATGCTTGCTTTTTTAAGCCCTTTGGAATTAACAGGTATTCTGACCACCTAGTCTGACATGTTGAATTCAATTTGCAGTATAATAGTGACTCTAGTGATGCACAGTGATGATGATCACAGCATGCTTTCATCCTTACTTGGCAGAAGCCCCCTCCACCGTGAGACAGACCCTGCTGGGAGGATCCAGAGCCAGGTTGGTGAGGACCCCGCAGGCTGCAAAGCACATCTCGTTGCTCTTTGAGTCGAGCAGCGTTACCACAAACTGGTGCACTTAGGAGGGAGGAAGATGGCAGCGTGAGTGAGGGAGTGCACCAAGACAAGGAGAGGCAAAGATAAGAGAGCCGCTATCACCAGAGTTCAGTGGACATGCTGACTGTAGCTGGCCTTGCAGATAAGTGTAGCCTAAACATGACATAATCATATGCAGAGGTGGGTCCTGCGTCTAGGTTTTCTGTGCCTGATGTGTGCCTGAGTGTTAAAGAGGGTTTCCTGCAGTAAACTTAGGCTCACTGTCTCTGCTCTACCTGCGAGAGTATGAAAACTGCATTTTCATGCACCTTTGTTTTGCATGATGAAGTTCCGAACGTCCTCATAATGCGACAGGTTTCCGTAGACGCGAACGGCCTCGAGCATGGCTCCTGTACTAGAGCTGAGCAGCAACTTCAACATCACTGTGGAGCAAAGAAAAAGAAAGAGCTGGAACTTAAAAAAATAAATAAATCTATTTTGTCCTCTCTTGGCTTGCCGGCCTTACGCTTTGCAATATGGAGCCGATTGTGTTTGATGGCAGAAGTCTCTTTCTGGTAGAAGGACAGGTTGTTGATGACAGCGGCCACATTGACTAGCAGCTCCTCGCTCTCCTCCACTGTCCTCAGCTCTGTGGCACCAACCCCCCGACACACACACACACACACACACACACACACACACACACACACACACACACACACACACACACACACACACACAAAGACACAAAAATCAGTGTAACATTAAATTAGTTTGTGCATCTGCCATCAGGAACACACCTTTAAAATCTACTTCCACAGTTTAAATATGAAAAAATATCTGCAGAACTAAAGTGACCAGCCTGTGAGTTTTGCCTTTAGCTCTGCTGAACTAATGTGACAGTGACATTATGATTAAAAATAACTGCAACCTGTAGTTAATTTTGGCCTCCTACAGTTGGTTTGATCGTGAGCTGGCACACAAAGGTCAAAGTGACTGGGTGCAACCAGCCATGACACCATGAGCAGCCTGAAAACAAGGCCTGCTCCCGATATAGCAGCAGATATCTTGTGCTCGGTCATAAATCGTGAATATTGCGGTTGCGCTGTCAACCGTCTCCTGCGTCACTCGGAAGATGGTTTCTGGTTCTGACTGGAAGCGTCGCTTTGTACCCTTAAAAACTCTTTAATGTTGAGCGCCTCAAGCCGTCGCGATCTTTATCAAAACAGGACATCAATCAGCCCAATCTGCTCTTTCATTCTCAGCTCAGATTTTGTCTTCCCCTCTCAGTAATTTTTTGTTTCTGCCTTCAGTTGCTTCTCTCCACAGTCTCCCTTACCTGATGTGCCCCTCGATCTAATAATGTTCCCACCTTTTTTTCACTAGTTTGACCTCTGTGTTGTTTGTGAAAATTTGACTGTGTAGGAGGCAGGCAGCAGAGAATACAGAGCTTAACGCCCACCCGTGTATCAGTTCAACCTGTCCTGAAACCATCTAACCACATGGGAGATATTCACACACGCAAACCGAGTCGGCTGTGAGATGTCACAGAACATCCTGCTCATGCAGCGAAGCGCTTCTTCTGTCAGCCTTAAAAAAAGAAAAAAGAAAAAGAAGAAGAAGAAAAAAAACCCAGGTAAACCGAAAGAGGATGTGCTGCACAGCAAACAGAAAGTACTGAGAGGAAACTGAATGATGGAATGAACAGACAGATATGGAGTGTGTTTTTGTGTTTTTGACAAAAGTCACATCTTGTTCCCAGCACAAGGGAAGTGGTTGTGTACCTCGTAGGTACTTAAGGTGCACTAAGCCGCTATATTTAAACCTATCAGAACTCCAGATGTTTACATGCTGCTTTCGTTGCGTACCATGAAAAAACAGGCCACTGTTAAGCCTGCTGATTGCTTCATCTTCTTAACCTAATAAAGGATCTGACTTAAAGAAGATGAAGCTGCTCCTTCCTTGTGCTCACCAAGCGTCTCCATCAGAAGTCGAATGCAGGCTGTGTCTGCGGCCACAGGTGGACCCACGGCGGGGTGGATGCACATATTCGCCAGCACCCTGACCAGCTTCACCAGCACGTCGTCAGCCACCTGTGGTCTGACGGGAGGAGAGGCTCCTTTCTGCACGACTGTGTGATGTGGCTCATCTTTTCGCTGGTAGATGTCGTACAGCCGGAGAAGCGTGCGCATGCAGCCGTCGCACTGAAAGAGCTCCAGCCGGGGCTCGTCGCTTTTGGCCGTGAGATTCCCGAGGGTGAAGAGGAGGCGCACAATGAGATCCTGCGAACAAGCGGTGGAGATCGGTGGTGAAACATCAGTTTATGGATTTAGATTTATTAGATGTTTGCTTAGGTAAAAAAGAAAGTGACAAGGAAATCAAGCATTTTAAACTACTTCCTGGGGTTACCGGCTTTGTATCAATGAATCTGCTTACATTTCATGCTCAGTGCATTTTTATTATTGCCTTTTTATTTCTTAGAGACCAGCAGGATCTGTTGAACTGTCTAAACTGACACTGTAAAGGTTTGGCTTTTTTAATAAAGACCACTAATCTTTATTCTAACCACCTGATTCTCTATCAGCAATGTTTGATTAGTACATTTATATTCGACTATCCTGAGCAGAAGGAGGCTGATTGTGTGTGACAACACCTACAGGAAAGCAAGCCTCTCCTGTCATGCAGCACGAGCACCTGTGTCACTCAGAGTTTAGAGTTGTGTAGTTGGTTTGACTGCGATTACACAATATTTTGTCAATGAGTTACCACGCTTATGGAAAACAACTACGTCACACCCTACAGAGCAGGTGAGAGCGCACTCGTGTCTCCCATTAACGTGTACCGAAACTGATATGAGGACGGGACGTGGTGTCCCAGGATGTTTATTACATGTTTTGCTATCCAGTGTGTTTATGTTTATGCATGTGTGTTTGTATCTGTGGGTGTCAGTTTATTCCAAATGAAATGAGAAGCACTTGTGAGTCGAGTCTAGTTGCCAAAGTCCCACATTCATCCTCTCCTGTTCCCTCCATATTCTCTTCCTTCCTTCCCTAGTCTAGCTTCCCTTCCACTTCTGTATCACTTCTTCTGCTGTGCCTATTCAATCTTTCCTTCTCTCCTCCATTTTCATGTCTTTTTGCATACTCATCTGGTTGATTAAATATCTAATCAAACACACAACAGAGGAGAAATTTTTATAGTATTAAACAATTCATATAAAACAAGTAAACAGTCCAGTAAAGATGCATAAGTAACTTAGTGAAAAAAAAACCCACACAGACATGCTTACAAACAAGAAGAACACCTCTCTTTAATTCAGTAAAGTCTCAAGCACACACAAGAACACAGAGGAGGCTTGTGGACTCACCTGTTTTTGGTGATGTTTGCTCAACAGCTCTAAAAATAGCTGGTAGCAGTCGGGAGTCTGAGCCAGGGCGAGGCGGCACTCAGAATATGAAGAAAGTTTACTGAGGGTGAGAGGGGACAAAAAATACCATAGACCACTCCACTCAACTCACTGCCCTGCTAGGGTGACTAAATATGGTGACATTAAATCAACATGGAAAATGCATTGATAGATCTGAGCTGATTATTTTCATTATCACGAGAAAACAAATTTTTAAAAAGCTAATTTTCTTTATTTTAGACTTCATGAATTATTCTTATCACATATTGATAAACTGATGAGGCTGGGGTTACAGAAAGAGAAAGATGGGGGCGCAAATTGTGCTCGATAGCTTTAGTTTGGCGTTGGTATGAAGATCAGAGAGTACTTAGTCTGTATTATCCTCTACGACCTTTTAAAAGGTTGTCAAAATATCACAGAGCACTTATTCCAAAGTAGATTTGCAGTTACCATTATATACAGTGTATATCCACTCACTGGACACTTTATTAGGTACACTTTGCTTGTTCAACAAGCCATTTTGATGCTTTGAGCTTTGTGACATTGTGCATTTAAGGAGGTATATATAATTAAGACACACTGAGTTGCTGTCATGTGATTGATTCGATATTTATGTTAACAAGCAGCTGGACAGATGCCCTTAATGAAGTGACCAATGACTTTAACTCCACCCATGAGCATGTTTTTTTTTATCATATGTCCTAAAAATCTATGTACTTTCCTGAGGCTCCACCCCTGTGTATGTAGTAAGCATGATTTAGGTAAGCAAGTTCAATACCTGTAAATTCTGGAAATGTTCATGCAGACATCCTGATCTTCACAGTGTTGCTGCAGCACTTGGCAAAGCGCTGGTAGTATGGAGAATGAAACAAACAGTGGACGGCAATCAGAGAGGTCGGCAAGATTCCTCAGGATCGTTGTCAGCTACAGAGGTGAAAAGACAGAAAAAGGTCCAGTGTAGCTTAGCAAAGAAAAATACACCTAGTACATTAATGGTTTGTAATAAGGCCAGAGCTTGTGACGCTGGCCTGTTCATCATGGTGTACAACATAGCAAATGGAAACTGCCCACTGCTGATCAGGATATCCTATACTGCACACACTGAACAAATATATGGGACTGTTTTCTTTCATCTGTGCAATATCTCTAAAATTAGAAACATCCTGCTTCAGATTGAGTGAAGCTGAAACACCAACTAACACTACTTTTGGATTGGACTATTGGAATTCATAATGATCAGGTTGTTCTGAAAGTTCAGTGAAAAGCCTTCAATTGATCCAAAACGCTGCAACGAGAGAAAGATCACAGGACTTCAGGACAGGACAGGACTTCCTGCAATGTACTGAGCACTTCCTCTCCACTCACTTCTTTTCACTCCATCCCCCCAACCGGCCACAACAGATGGCTGTCCCTCCTCGAGCCTTGCTCTGCAGGAGGTTTCTTCCTGTTAAAAGGGAATTTTTCATTCCCACCGTCACTAAGTACTCGCTCAAAGAGGGTCGTTTGTTTGTTGGGGTTTTCCGAAGAACATCGTACGGTCTTTACTTAAGAGTTGAACTGAAGTGCGAAAATAAATCATTCTATGATAAGAGGGAAACAGTCAAGTAAACAGCAGTACAGAAACTACCCTGAAAGTCATCGTGTGCTTATTTTGCCTTCATCAATGAGTCATGTTAGATATGAAATGAAGAACGGGTTGACAGTTTGTTTACTTGGGCCAGTTTCTGTGGTTGGCAGCAATAATTTTCAGTGCAGTCAAGCAAGCTGTTACTTGTGCAGCACAGAATACACTGTAAAAAAATTGTAATATAAAAGTATTTCACTGTGTATTTTACAGTTTTGTACTGTTCTTCTAGAATATCATGAAATTTACATAAATAGACCTTGATTTTACATTTCAAATGTAAATTAACGTAAAATCACTGTAAATGTAATAGAACATAATTTTCTTGTTTTTTAAACATATCTGTCTGTACATATGCATATTTAGATTGTAAAAATACAGTCACAAATGCATCATAATTTCACAAATATTTGTCCGTTATTTGAAAGATTGAACTATTAGATTCAAATGTAATGCTATGGAAAAATACATAAAATGATTCGTATAAACTTTATTTACACACGAGTCACTCACGAGTTGGCAGTTCGCCTTGTAATCAGAAGGTTGCCGGTTCGAGCCCTGGCTCGGACAGTCTCGGTCGTTGTGTCCTTGGGCAAGACACTTCACCT